TCCTCTGTCCTCCCTTTGGTTTCCTTTATGCCAGTTCTGTCCCCGTTCCCCAGTGCCACCGGCAGCCCGAGACATCGCGGGGGCCATCGATCTTGCAGCCCACGGGGCTGGCACCGGCCGCAGCCCCGCCGAGCACTTTTGCAGAGGATGGCAAGAAGGTAACGCCGTATTTCTCACAGCGCCTGGGTATCAGCATCGCTTTGCAGAGATCGGGGGAAAAAGAATTTTAAGCAAGCATACTTGATTCAAAAGAAAATTTAAAGGAGAGATCGGCAAAGCGAACAGCAACCGTGGTGGCTCCAGTGGCCGTCTCGCCGGAGAGCCGCGCTGGCGCTGGGAGGAAAGCGTAGCCAAGCCACGTTCCCGGAGAACAATGTCTGGCTGCACGGGAGAAAACAGGGAGCAAAGGAGAAAGACTTTCAGCCGGGTTCGGTTTTCCCCCACACACACCCCAGACACTTGTGCCAAGAAACCAGACTTTCTTACAAGCTCTGCCAAAGAGTAACTCGGAAAAGCAAGCTTTGTGAAGAGCAGAAGTAAATGTTTGTGCACTAGGATATCCTCCTTTCTACCTTTTTCATATGTATTAAGTGCAATCATTTGAGTCTTCTTTATATTATTTAGAGGGAAGTGGTTTTTTTCTACTAGAAACGACAATATTTATACCTGCCTGAGAAATGAGAATGTGCGTTTGCGACAAAAAAAAACCACCCCACCCACCCGAAGCAAACCCAGCACTGGGCTGCTGCTGACCGGCGAGATGCCGTTTTCAGGCCTTGCAACCTTTTCTGCCGCGTTTGTCCCCGCGAAGAGCCCCCGTTGGAGGGGGCAGATGGTGCCTCTCCTGCTCAGCACGTGACGGGGTGAGTTTTTGCAGGGGGTTCGAGGCGGCTCGGCCCGGCCGCAGTGGCTGTGTGCTTGCGGGCTGATTCTCCAGGGTTTGTGGGTTGTTGAAGCCCCATGGTGAGGAGGACGCAAAACTCTGCCGTCGCCTGCTTGTCGTGAACTGTTTTGCTTCCCTGCAGGGGCTCAGGGATGAGCCAAGGCCTGGGGCAGAGCCGAGGCAGGGGCCAGGTGGCACGCTGGCAGGAGGGGGGAGCTGCCCCTCCACTCAGCCCCAAAATCTCTCCCCCAGGTGTGGAGGTCTGCACCCTCCCCGGTTCTGGGGAAGCTTTGTGCTTCCACCAAGTCCCTTCTGGTGCTTTTGGCTCTGTCCCTCCACACGTGCTCATCCTGCCGGGATGCTGCGGGAGCCCCTCACCAGGGCGTGGATCCCGGGGGGACCCCATCTTGTCACCCCCCTTCCACCACCGCCTGCCCTCTCCCAGCTTCGCAGATGGGTGCGGCTGGGGACAATGGCCAGGGGGACGTCACCCATGGGTTTGTCCCCCCTGCCATCTTCATTCTACCGGACAGGACCCCCGGGGACAGACAACTGCTGCCACCGGTCACCCCTCCTCCTCCTCCCCAACCCTTGCTCCCCTCTCTGCTGTAACCTTCCTACGCCTTCATCCCACCTTCATCCTCTCAAAGACCTGGAGCTGCCAGGACTAAACGTGGTTGGCTTGCCTACGGCTTTCCTGGTGGCAGGTCCCCTCCCATCCCCATCCCTGCTTGTCTCTCGGTGTCCCCTCGAGCACATCTGGGGTGAGCCCTGCTCTTCATGACCCCATTATTTATTTCTCTGTGCATACCCCCCGG